CAATTGTTAATGTAGCAAGCATTGCATGCTTGTAGGTTGCTTAATTTAGTTTATTTTATTTTCATTTTTTTGAATCTCTCCTTCCCGTTACTGTTAGGAAATTTCATTATGTAGTTTCTAACACTTTCTGTAATATTATGTAGATTAATTACTGTAAAGGTTGTCTTTAACCTTTCAGATGACCCAAATAGACAAGGGTTGGATGATAATAAAGCTCTAAAATGACTAAACACCCCTCTCTTGTTATAAAGGCCCTTTCTCCATTAAGCGGCAAGGAATACCATAAGCCCTCCCCAAATGAACTTGTCTAAAACCACAAGCAATTAGCCTATGTTAATAGTCTTTTAATTGAACTATTTTTAAAATAATAGAACTTTTTGTTGGCCATATTTTAATATTTTCTTTTACAAAGTATATGTGTCACACATGTTTATGGATGCTTGTGGCCAGGTGTTGGTTTCTTCTTTTTATTATTGTTTTTATTAGGAGTTTTGTTTTAACGAAAAGATTTATGTACTTTTAATGTGAAGTTGGGTCGAATACATGTGTGCAAGGATGGACTTGTGGAATAAATTTATTGAGCAATAAATCAAATATTGTAGAGTAGCTCCTTTATCTTTTGGATCATCTAGTTTGTTTATTTTGCTTTTAGTTCAAATATATAGTGTTTATCTGTAAGGATGTTAGCAAGTTCTAAAATTCCAAAATTTTTACTTAGTGTCTTATGGATATCAAAGATCTGAATTAGCTCCAACACTTTTTATTCATTCAGTTGTCATGTACCAGTTGATTATTTTACAAAATTTTCAATCATGAGAAGTTGATCATTTCACAATCTCTCCTTTTACACTAGTGTGTGCATTTTTCCATATAGGGTAGCAACTTTGATGGTGGTTTTTTTCTTTTTTTTTTTCAATTGGCAGGTGATTTTTTATATTTATGAAGATAATTATATTAAATTGAACAATCATAATTTATAAATAATAGACCAAAAAATGTTTTGCAATTAGTGCTTGGTTGATGTGGAATATCATTAGTAGCATGTGAAGATAAACATTTAGTGTTCTTGACATTAGGCCTTGGAACTGTTTTGCAATGAGCGCAAGACAGGTGTTTACTCACCTACCTTCTATAGAAATACCCCCTCTCCTCATTCTTTAGGGCTTATCGTGCACTTCGTCTTGGGCTCTCAAACTAAGCTTATGTGGATTAAATACTCTAAAATAGTGCAGCAGACTGGGTTGTTTGAGGTTGACCACCAATTTTATATTTGGACTTTGGCATGCATTTTAGGTATGGATTTGAATCAAGATGTCCCATAATTTGAGGCAATGTTTGGTATAGACATTCATATTTTCTCTTATTTATATTCTAAGGTAGAACAAAGTTTCTATGGTGAAGTATTGCATCAGTCATGAAGGTGGACTGATCTGGAGCAATTTTGGTGGTCTGCATCAGATCTGTCTGGATGCTTTCGGTGGTGTGCTATATATGGTGGTGACTATCAACACCAATTCATAGTTTGTATTTATAGGTGACAGTCAACTATAAGTACAAACTATTAATCATCGATGTATCAAATTTATTAGAGAGCTGCTATATATTATTTTTTGTTTTAAATATTTTTTTATATCACTGATCAATACATGCATGATAAATATAAAGTAATATATTAGTATTTGGTTTTTCTAATACTTATCTCTAAATAAAAACGATTAGAAATAAAACTATCCAATAGTCACAAACTTAACTTTTTTCCAGGTATAAAAAGTTCCGTTTTACAAGTAGACTACCTACCTCCCCTTTGAGGAGTGAATTGGTTGGGTTAATCAATCGAACAGCCTCTGGGTAGTCAAGTGCCACACCCCTTATCCGATCTTCCGGCATTGGCATCTGCACCGATATTGCCATGTAATGAAACCTGTTCATCATCCATTCATTCATTATTTATCAATCTAGATATATAGGTTGTCAAAATAGGAGTTTAATTTAATTCACATGAAAGGTTCATTGAGGAAGATAGGAGTTATTGACAATATGGATTAATTTCAGTTGCCGTGTTTGGTTTCTGCTGTGTGGCACTATATTGGATCTGGAATTGTGGCTCATCCAATTTATTCTATAGACATAAGAATGTTGTCAAGGGAACTACTGTCTACTGCTTTCCCCAGTTGGGCATATGGCACTTGATTTTGGCCAATGCTTTGCCTCAATATACCTAGTTCCTTGGTAGCTTAACTTTACTAAACTTTCATGATCGGAATTACCAATTAGATAAATCTTAAGATGGGATATGAATTTCATTTGGATGGTACATGTTGAACACCTTTAGGTGTGGCATTTACTTCTTATCCTTTGATGCTATTAGTTATCTCTACACCTTTGCTGTTTAAATATGGTTATTAGTTCTCTGACAGTGTTGAGCATTCTGGAGGGCAACGGGTGCGTCTTGACTTACAAAAATTGAGCCAATTTTCAATTTTTCCTGGTCAAGTAAGAAATAGGAACTCGACTGCCATTTCAATATTCCTTTTAAAAATTATAACATAATGCCAAATGATTGCATTTTTGCAGGTTGTGGGTGTTGAAGGGCACAATCCTAGTGGACATTGTCTGACTGCATTATGTTAAAAATTATAACATAATGCCAAATGATTACTATTTAATGCCAATATATCATAACCGCACTTTAAGAGCGCTTCTTCCTTCTATAGCTCCAGCACGAAGTCTGCAGTGCAAATAATAGAATTGAATCAGACTAATAACCAAAATAGTTGCACAGCTCGAATAATAAAATCCATAATACATGAGGCCAGTTAGAAGGAGATCATTATATCTGACAGAACCCATAAACTAAGTCTTTCCTTTGTCCTTATCAAGAATAGAAGTTGAAGGATGTACAACTTCATCAGTCCAAAAGTGATAGTGTAAATGCCAACTTCTGTGGGCTCAGAATTTAGTTTCTATAATCAAATTATAATCACCATGAAGTCTGGAGCATAAAATAGATTTTGGGAAAGGTAGCTATATGTGTACTTACAGTCTGCATCTGTATTGATCCAGTTTTCGCTGTTCCCATTTGAATTGCTTCCACTGATTGTGAGTTGTGATGGGTTTGAGTGTCTCTTGAAGCATCGTATGCTCTCTTTTGAAAGGGCTGTATGGGGAAATATTTGTTGGCTCCATCCACTACCCACATGGTAATGAGCCCACCATTCACATAGTGTAGGTAGCACCATGTTGTAAAAGAAGGTGGTGGAGGGCTACACCAACTCACTAAAGGAAGATAGTGAGGGTGGCACTACCTTGGCCAATTATGGCTAGCACTTCACCTACTCCTCCTCTCTTGGTTATAAATTGAGATGAGTGAGGAGAGGTTTGTATCATCAGAAATTGGAGAGTGAGAGCTGTGAGTTGAGTGAGTTTCATCTCCTCCTCTGTAATTGTATTTTTGCTCCATTTTAGTGATAATTCTCATTTCTGTCCGTGGATGTAGGCATTGGGCCGAACCACGTAAATATTGTGTTCTCTGTGTGTGTGAGATAATTCTCTGGGTGTCTTTGATCCTAACAGATAGGACCCATTGAATAGAGATTATATGTCTCCCATTTTATTGTGTTACTTTTAATCATATGATGTGATAAAATTTTAAAATATGAGAATTTCAAGAAACAAACTCACAATTAAAAAACATTAAAAAAAAGAGAGAAATTTTAAAAATAGATGATCACGTGTTGCACACATTTTCCCAGTGAAGAGGAGTGGAATGGTGGACACCACATGTTTTTTAGTAATTGGTGAGAATGGAATCAAGAAAAAGAGTTGTCCTCAAAGCATAGCCACTGAAATTGTATTATTTGGAGGCTATTCTATTGTGTTGATGACATAACCTCAGTGACGTATATTCAAGTCAGCCATATGAACTTTGAACTTTGAACATTAAAAATAAAATAAAATAAAATAACAAGAAGAGGAAGGAGGAGGAGCAGAAGGAGGAAAGAAAGAAGAAGAAAAACTAAAATCAAGCGATATATTCATTTTATTGCTTCTCATTGTATTATTTCAGAGTACATACATATCTTAGCTTCTCATTTTTATTTTTTTATTTTTTTCATGCCAAGTTAGAATTACTTGATAATGTATTCTGCAACATTGGTAACAATTGAAATTGTAAGGGATCATTCATGAAGACTTTTTCATCTTCATCAAATTTTCAAGGCTTGAATGATGGAGGCTTCCTAATCTTAGTAGCCTGCTCAAATCCATACGCAATCTCAATCAGTTTCGGCTCTGAACCCTTAAATCCTCCAAAAGCGATGCCAAAAGGCACCCCATTGTTATCAAATCCGGCAAGGACACTGATTCCAGGGTATCCTCTTATCACTAGAACAGGCGCAGCATCTGCACGAGGAGTCACCAATGCATCGAGCTTATTCTCTATCATTGTCTTTTCAAATCCATATCGTGTTAGTTTCGCTAAATTTAGCAAAGCATTCTTCTCAGTATCTTCGATCCCATTTGTGGCGTCAACTACCAGAAAGATTTCTTGTCCAAATTCTTTGATCATTTCCTGTCTAACCAAATCATTAGTACCCACCCACGGGCCGAATAGAATCCAATACATAAATCAGTTAATAAAATAATAGAAAAAGCTTTTATTGTATCGCTTAAGAATTCTTGAGCTCAAGAGTTAAGAATAACAAGTTCTTCATTACCCAAAATAGAATAACCACTTAGCATAATGAAACAGGTCATATCTGTTGACAATTGCAAAATCATATGGAAACAAGCCAAGTAAATTGGTTACCATTAGCATATGAGAAATTTCTCAATTTAGTATGAATAAATGCATAGCATAATATAAACCATGACGACATACTTACCAAACCAGAATTTTTCTGGTTGAAAGCAATTACGTCTGTCAATGATCGCACGGGCAAGGACACTAAATCTTTCAGGTAAGCATTCAATGATAGTTTGAACTCGGCTACTAATGTTATGGCTTCACCACTTTGTTAGGGAAAATATAAGATTTTCTACAAGTAAATCAATCAATGGGAATAAAAACTAATGCGAAAAAATTAAATCAAAAGCAACACAAGAATTTTTACGTGGTTCTCTCAATGTGAGGTACGTCCACGGGATCGAAATCTAATTCCACTATCAACTAAATAAGTTTCCAAACGATTACAAACGAGACACGAATGGTCTCACAAAATCACCCTTAGGTTAATTTCAAATAATCACAAATAAAAAAGAGGAAAGTCCTCACCAAATAGATAAACAAAAGTCTTCAAAACTAGAGTTGTAGAAAATCCAAAATAATAACCCAAATCAACACTGAACACCGAACCAAAAGTTTCAAAACAGAGCAGCAACCAAGGCACCAATCTTGAATTTGACCAAGTCAAATTCCTAGCAAAACTTCTCACCAATTGAATCAATTTGCACCAAGCACTATGCTGCCTTCTTCGGATTACCCAAAAACAAAGCCACACACACACATATATATATATATATATATGGTTGAGTCTTGAGTTTGTTTTATCAAACTCTAGTTGTGTTCAAATTGAATTAGGTCTCTAAAAATTAGATATAATATATTAAAATATATTATACCCAAACCAAACCAAATTAAAATCTTTTTCCAAAACCAATTGGGTCTCAAACTCCTATAAGGAGATATACTCCAACAATTCTCCCCTTATCAACTTAGGTGGAGACATCAACCATACCCACCAAAGTTCGACACTTCAATAGTTTGTCTCTCGACAAAGTCTTTTATCAACATATTTGAAATATTATCATCCGTGTGAACCTTTTCGAGTTGCAACAATTTCGAATCTAACACATCACGAATCCAATGGTATCTCACATCAATGTGTTTTGATCTCGAATGAAAAGTAGAATTTTTACTCAAATGAATAGCACTTTGACTATCACAATAAAGCATATACTTTTCTTGCTTCAAACCCAACTCTTGCAAAAATTTCTTCAACCATAACTCTTTTTTGCAAGCTTCCGTAATGGCAATAAATTCAGTTTCGATAGTTGAGAGAGCAACACATTTTTTTAATTTAGATTGCCATGCCACAACTCCCCTTGCAAAAGTCATCAAATACCCCGAAGTAGATTTCCTAGAATCAACATCACCGGTCATGTCAGAATCTGTGAACCCATCAAGCATCGACTTACCATCCCCAAAACACAAACACACCTTCAAAGTCCCTCGAAGATATCTCAGAATCCATTTTACCACTGCCCAATGTTTTTTACCCGGATTAGAGAGAAAACGACTCACCACACCAATGGCGTGAGCAATATCCGGCCTTGTACAAACCATGGCGTACATCAAAGAACCAACTGCTGAAGCATAAGGAACTTTCAACATCTCTTCCTTGTCTTTCTCACTTATAGGACATTGATTCAAACTAAGTTTGAAGTGACCCGCAAGTGGACAATCAACCGACTTTGCTTTATCCATGTTGAACCTCTCAAGAACTTTCTCAATGTAGCTTTCTTGAGACAACTAAACCAGCCCCTCTTTGCGATCACGAACAATTTTCATACCAAGTTGCTTTGCCGGTCCCAAATCTTTCGTAGCAAAAGATTTACTCAACTCTAACTTCAACTTGTTAATCATGGTAGAATCATTGCCGTGGGGCTTGCTTGAGGCCATACAAACTTTTCTTCAATTTGCAAACAATTTCTTTCTTTTTCCCACAAAACCTTCTAGTTGCTTGTCAAGACCCAAACCCGGCCCTATGGGTTTAGTACCGTAACCGGCCAGTAATCCGAGATTACCGAAGGCCTGCAGAACAGTAATACAGTAAAACAGAGTACAGGGCCTGGTGGAAGCCAATACAGTAAATAAATAGTGTCCATTGAGCTGTGACAGTCTGTATGCAAAAGGACTTTTCATACATTTATACACAATATTTACAATCATTCAGACTAGGGACTCGACCCTATATAACAGTACAGTGACACTCAGTCTATACAGAACAGTAAAACAGTACAGAAGGGGGAATTGTAAAAGACCCCTAAGCCTTAACAGATAGGCTCGGAACCTCGCAGTGAGGCACAAAGGCTGGCTTGACAAAACTGGAACAACCCTGACGCCTCTAGACAGATAATCAGACAATCAAACAGATAGAATGCAATTAACTAACATATACTCAGTCAATTCAGTTTCAATTTCAGTCAGTCGGTTCAGTATTTCATTCAGTTCGATTATCAGTCAGTTATCAGTCATTATCAGTTTCGTTTAGCAGTAATCGGTGATTATCGGTAATCAATCAGTCCCTAATCAGTAAACAGTATGAGGGTTGTTACAGTTGTTTAAACACTTGTTGAAATTCGTAGCAATTTACAAATAGATTATTGTTTCACTTGTTATGTTAATCCTTGTTGAAATTTGTAGCAATTTACAAGTTGAAGCTAAGCCGAGATGGTTCATTATCTTCACTTGTTGAATTTTGTAGCAATTTACAAGTTGAAGTTAAACCGAGATAAAAGGAGAAGATAGTTACTGATACCGAAACATTTCAGGGATTGCAGCACAGACACGGGCTATGAGATGCTGGGAAGTTGTTCTAGAAAGTGCAGTAATGCAAAAGGCTGGTTGTTCAGAATAAGCTCCGAGCATAGAAAATTGAAGGATGTTGATGTGTCCACACTCTGAAGTTTTCTAAGTTGCTCCGTGTTCATCATGCAAGGAGTTGGCACGGTAATGCAGGCTGGTATCCCGAGCAGGGGGTAGCGGCAATCCAATCAGGGGGGAGCTGTGTCCTTGGCAAAGTCCAAGCTGAGAAAGTCCAGTTGTCCATGTGGGCGTGGAGGGGGAGAATTGTTTGGCTCCATCCACTACACACATGGTAAATGAGCACCATTCACATAGTGTTAGGTAGCCACATGTTGGTAAGAAGGTGGTGGAGGCTACACAACTACTTAAAGGAAGATAGTGGAGGGTGGCACTCACCTTGGCCAATTATGGCTAGCACTTTCAGCCTAACTCCTCCTCTCTTTGGTTATAAATTGAGATGAGTGAGGAGAGGTTTGTATCATCAGAAAATTTGGGAGAGTGAGGCTGTGAGCTTGAGTGAGTTTCCATCTCTCCTCTGAAATTGTATTTTGCTCCATTTTTAGTGATAATTCCTCATTTCCTGTCCGTG